TCAGTTTCCCTGCTTGCCCTTCCCCTTGGTAGGGCAGCCCGCTGTCTCGTGGCAGTCGCTGTTGCACCACAGGCAGTAACGGTACTTCGTGCATTGCTTGTAAGCTTGCTCCGAAAGACCGTAGGGGGTCCAGGGCCCCTGAGCTGCTGCGCCGGACCCGGGGTTTGATGAGGTGTTTGTCTTCGATTTGCCGCGTCCTCGGCCTCGGCCGGGGCGGCCACCATCCCGGGCAGCTGCGAGTCTGTCTCCTTCATTGGCAGACTCCGCCTCGCTAGATTGGCTGCTTGGCGATGCCGCCGCAACCACGGCCACCTTGGGCCGATGCTGGTCCTTGCTCGGGCCTGCAGCACGAGTGAGGTTCTTCGCCTCCTTGTTCGTGATGATAATCTGTGCGGCCTTGTCAAACAATTGCGCCGTCGTTGTCAGTGTGTCCTTGACATACGTCAAGGCGTTGCTCAACGTCGGGCACGACCTCGAAATGAAGTAGTGCTTGATGGCTTTGAAGCCCATCGGGAGACCTGGGACGGATGTCAAGCGTTGGTACTCGGCGACGCTTGGCAGCGAGCCTTGCTCGAAGGTCATGAGCTTGTCCATGGCCTTGATCTCCGACGGCTCCACTTGGAACCGCTTGTGCCACGCCGCCTTGAGGTCTTCCCAGTTGATCTTCGTGTGTAACTCGGCAGCGACCACCCCGTACTGGGACAAGAGATTGTCCAACCATGCCTGGCATGCGCCTCCCGACCGAGAGTATAAGTACACGTGGTGCTTGCATTCGCTGACGAGGTGCAGCTGCAACATGAGTTCAAACTTGCGAAACCACTGAACTGGATCCGTCTTTGTTGAATCGCAAAAGATCTTCTGACCGTCAAACTTGGGAGTTGACTCGCGCTATCCCGAACTCGGGCTGGCGGCGGCAGCACAGACCCGCTGCTCCAATTGTTGAGTAGCGGTTTGTTGTAGTCGTGCGCCGTCCTTGAGTGTACTGACGTCAGTCTCCAATGCGTCCAGGCGGTCTGATGCGTTGGAGGAGTTTGTCACAGGGGCGGCGGCTGGTCGTTTGCTCCAGCTGCTGTATGCGGCTGCGAACACTCTTGACTTCGGCATCGAGGCTGTGAATGTCCTCCTGCTGCGCGATGCATGTCGCCAGGAGGTCCGTGAGATGGGAGAGGAGGAGGGCAATATTGGTCTCGCTCTCCTCCATCTTCCCTGTCTCCACCTCAGTTCGCCATTCCGCTGCCAATGTGAGTAATGCTTGCTCCCCACTGAAAATCTTCTCACGCCGCTTCAATCGTTCTTCATCTGCAGCCTTCGCTGCTGCCTCGGCCTGCAGACGCTGCTGTTCAAGAGCTAGCAGTCGTGCCTGCTCGGCATCCTCCGCCTTCTTCTCTGCGGCTTCTACTGCATCCGCCCACTACTTGGCTTCTATGATCAAAGCCAGCATGCGGTCCTTATATGCCTCCGCCGTTTCCCCCGGTTTCTGGTCCATGACGGCTGTCTGCGAGCGCGTCAGCATAAACAGGCCCGGGTGGCTGACGTGGCACTCCCTGTTGACGTGGCCTGCTGATGTGGTCCGCTGATGTGGTCTGCTGACGTGGTTTGCTGACGTGGTCTGCTGACGTGGCCCACTGACGTGGCAACTTACCRATGCCACCACAGGGAATACCCAGAATGGATGAAGAAGATGAGATCAGAGATGGCAAACAA